TCAACAACAACAACAACAACAACAACAACAACAACAACAACAACAACAACAACAACAACAGCAGCAGCAGCAGCAACTAACCTTGAGGTCCTCTGATGAGAAGCCGAAGGGGACATTCCCTACATAAATTCTGTTGCTGCCTGGCGCTGACTCTTGCTGCTTGTCAGGGCTTAATGAACCAACTGACACCAAACTTGCTGCAGCAGCAACAGCAGCAGCAGCAAACGCAGCACATATATGCATGCATACATGCATAACGACACATGCAACTAAGCCAGGCCATGCTGTATGTTGTTACCGTTGCTGATGCTATTGCTGCTGCTCTTGTTGCTGCTGTTGCTGCTGCTGCTGCATAACTTACCCATATCACCTTGGGGTGTCTGACCAGCTCTGCCTGCTAAGATTGCTGTTGCTGCTGCTGCGCCTGCCTGTGCGCTGCTAACTAAGGACATCCCTGGTGCTGCAGCACAACAAAACACACAACAATAACAACCGCTGCTGCTGCTGTTGCTGCTGTTTGTGCATGCTACTGCTGCTGCTGCTGTCCGTGTCTGTTGCTGCTAGAGAGGAGGAGGCATCACTTACAAGCAGCAGCTCCCATGTTCATGTCGTAGCCACCAACTGCAACAGCAACAGCAACAGCACAAACCCCACGATCCATACAAGCGCAACGAACAGCAGCAGCAGCAGTACCAGCAGTAGTAACAGCAACACAAGCAGCAGCAGCAGAAGCAGCAGCAGGTAAGCTTACGTGGTCTTGCCAGCAGTTGCTGTGGCTGTCCCGCACCAACAGCTGTTGGTCGTCCGACCTTAATTGTTCTGCACGTACACCACAAAAAAAGAAAAATAAAAAAGTAAATATAAATAAATAATGCATAAATAATAAATAAGAAATAGTAATATATAATAAATATACAAAAATAATAATAGTAATACATAATACACCGATACAGCGAAAACGGCGCATCTCCTGCTGCTCGCGTTGTTGTGCTGTTGCTGCTGCTGCTGTTGCTGCTGCTGCTACTCTTGCTGCTGTACACTTCTTGCCAGCCTTAGGGATGTTTCCCTCAGCTCATCAAGGCGCTAAACCCTAAACCCTAAACCCTAAACCGCAGATCAGAGACAGAGCTGAAACCACTACCACCAAAGCACTGAAGGCATAGTGCAGCAGTTGCAGCAGCAGCAACAGCAGCAGCAGCTGCTGCAGCACAGCTGCAGCAGCAACAGCAACGTGCAAACAGCGCTACTTTTGTCTTAGCAACATGACCGAGCAGCAAGATGCCGCAGTACAGAGCGACAACTTTGCTGGCACCAAGCGACAGCAGCAGCGCATGCAGCGCCAAGCAGCAGCAGCAGCAGCAGCAGCAAACCGAACACGCCAGTTTAGACATCCGAGAGACCAAGAAGAAAAAGATACTCGCAAAACAGCCAGATAAGCAAAACACACAGAGACCAATGGACAAAACCCCTGCAGCAGCAGCAGCTGCAGCAGCACTTGCTGCTGCTGCAGCTGCTGCCGCTAGGGAGCAGAAGACAAGGAAACACAAAAGACACAAGACAACACAAACGCCTGTAACACAAATGTCTTGTTAGAGTCAGCTGCCGAGTTGCTGCATGCGGGACTGCTGCTCTACTCACGTCTGCACGCAGCAGCAGCAGCAGCAGCAGTAGCAGCAGCAGCAGCAAAAAAACAGACACAGAGACAGCAGAGCCCCACAGCACAACAGATGCAGCAAATAGGATGATAGCAGCACAAGGAAAGGAGACAAGATAATATACCACAAGTACCAGCAACACCCGCCCTCCACACGCCACCTGCTGCTGCTGCTGCTGTTGCTGCTGTTGCTGCTGTTGCTGCTAAGAAGAGACCACGCACTAGAGTCTCAACTATATTTGCTGCTGAAGCAATCTGTCTGCTTCCATACGACCAGCAGCAGCAGCAGCAGCAGCAGCACCATCAGCTGGCAGCAAGTTAAGATGCCCATAGAGTCCAGCAGCACTAGTACCAGGTGCAGCAGCAGCTGCAGCAATAGCAGCAGCAGCAGCTGCTGCAGTCCTAGTACTAGAAGCAGCACTAGTAGCACAGGCACGATAATACAACAACAGCAGCACGGGCACAACCACCACCACCACCAATAGCAAGAACAGTCATAACAGCAGCAACAACAGCAGCAGCAACAGCAACAGCAACAGCAGCAGCAGCAGCAGCAGCAGCTTGCCTGCCCTTAAGAACAAAATTATGCATCGTGCTTAATGCCATTTGTGCTGCCTCTGGTGATGCATATTCAACAAAACAAAAACCTTTAGATCTGTCTCCTTCTTTTGGCATATCTACTGATGTTACAGTACCAAACGCCTGCAGCAGCAGCAGCAGCAGCAGCAGCAGCAGCAGCAGCAGCAACAGCAACAGCAACAGCAGCAAATGCAACAAATGCAGCAGCACCAGCAATTGCAGCAGATACTACAGTCTATAGTTGTGCAGATACAAACAAAACAAGAAAAAACAGTAAACAAATAAATAAATAAATAAATAAATAAATAAATAAATAAATAAATAAAATAAATAAATAATAAATAAATAATAAATAAGTAAATAATACTAAACAATAATAAATAGACAATGTATAGGAAAAGGCACCAAAAAAAAAACAAAAAAAGACATACATAATAAGACATAATTAAATATAATTAAATTAAATATAATTAAATAAATAAATAAAATAAATAAAATAAATAAAATAAATAAATAAATAAAATAAATAAATAAATAAAATAAATAAATAAATAAATAAATAAATAAATTACCTGGAAGACAGATTTGATTTCTAATTCTGTGAGATAATAATCCAACGATCCAACATAAATACGACAGAGCTGCAGCGCAGCACGCACACAATTTGCTGCTGCTGCTGCTGCTGCTGCTGCTGCTGCTGCTGCTGCTGCTGTTGCTGCTGATGGTAGTG